GGGGGGGGGAATGGCACTACTCTGTACCCTCGTTGTGGGTGGTTACAGGAAACCTAATATGCTCTAACAATCATACATCATACACAGAGACACAAAGGTAAGCTGTTTTACTATATGTTAATACAGTAAATAAAAATAAATTAATTGGCCCCACTCAGGGTGTCTGTTTTCCTTGCCAAGATAATAGAAACTCAAAGGGTTGGAGTTTGTGGAAATGAAAAGAAGTATCTGAAGTCCAAGGAAGATAGTCCAAGAGAAAACCAGAACTCAGAGCATTCACCTTGAGCCACTCCACCAGCCCTATTTTTATGAAGGGTTTTTCGAGATAGGGTCTTGCAAACTATTTGCCCCGGCTGGCTTTGAACCTAGAGCCTCCTGATCTCTGCCTCCTGAATGGCTAGGATTACAGGCATGAGCCACCAGCACCCGGCTGAATATCTTTCCAGATGACCACATACCCCAGCTTTACTCAGAACAGCTAACTTCCAAGGCAAAGCTTTGGCTTGAACATCTGGCAGCAGACAGGCCCACAGGAAAGGCATTGGTCTGCAGTGGCTTCCGTTTTTGTGCCCACTCTTGAGTGGAACTTCTGGGATACAACACAGACAAATCTGTAATTTTTAATTTTCCATTGGCCATCTGAAAAAAACCCAATTAAACAGATAAAAATTTTAATAGACATTCAATTTAAACCAACATATCAAAATGTCATTCCAACATATAATCAATATAAGAATTATGAATGCGCTGTTTTGGCACTCTGTTTCGTACTAAGTCTGTGAAATCCAGCGTGCACATCACCTAAATTTAAAAAGCATCTCAATTTGGAGTAGCCACCCAGCAGCAGCTGTGTTTAAGTCCATAGTGATTGTGTAAGACAGTACAGGTTTAGATTTCCTTTAGAAGTCCAATGCAAACAGCCTCTCGATCCGTAAACTTGTTTTTTGAATATTTGAGCCTCTGCATACATTCTGCGTTCATTTATCGGTCAACACACACTGGCATGTTCCCCATGCACCCAGCACTGCACTAGAGACTGGAAATAGAAACGCAAAGGAGATGTGTGCCCTCCAGCTCAATCTGTGGGTGTGAAAGACAATCATAAAATAATATGAAAGCGCTGTGACATCGATGCACCCCATTTTATGAGCACCCAAAGGAGAGGGCAGTGACATAAATGTAGCTTTAGTGGTGGCCTCGAGCTGACTCCCAGAATGTGCAACTGGTAGCCTGTGAAGAAAGGGAAAGGGCACCTTTGGAAACCTCCTAAAAGTACACGCAGGGTAAAGGTGAGAGGGAACGGGAAAGCCAGCCAGAGAAGGGCCTGGTATGTCGTGTCGGGCTTCTACAATAAAACACTCTGAAAACTTTCTGTAATTTCGGAAGTGCAGGTGGCAGTGGACTCGAGCGTTTAGATCTGGGCTCAGTGGCTGCTCGGAGCCTGATTGTCCACTGGGTCAGGGCCATTTGCTTTGATCATGCATCCCCTTGACCCAGGGTCTGCACCACCGCCCTGGCCTAACAGATTTACACTAGCTCGAATTCCTTCCTTCTTCTCCAGGCCCCCATTCCTCTGGGTGGGATTAGAATGCCAACCATGGCCTCTGAGCTTCACAAGGCCTCTGGAGTTCGTGGGATTCGCGACCTTTCGGGACTGCTTCCTCGTGTAGAAAATGGGGCTCATAACTCCCCACCGCCCGGCACAGCTGGGTAGCTTAAATGAATTTATAGAAAGCACGTGGGAAAATGAAAACGCGCTCCTCGTGGCTTTGAGCAATCGGGGTGCCAGGACCTGCCCAGGTCAAGGCCAGGGGACTCTCATGGTCGGCGGCAGGGTAACTGATTCAGGGCCAGGAGCACCTCCCACCCTCGGAGGTAACCGCTTGATACGCATCTCCAGGAGGCGCCACCCCTGGGGAAGCGGAGGGGCGGCCCCGCTGCCCCCAAGGCGGAGAACCCTAGATCCGGGCCCCCCTGGCGGTTGCCCCCAAACACGACACAAGACTCCGACCCTACCAGCGCCCCCAGCCCCTTCAGCCCCTCCTCGCGCGTCGGGGAGGAGAAGAGGGTGGGGCGGCCTGGCTCCCGCAGCCAATGAAAGTAGCGGGTTCCTGGTCCGATCCCCAACGTGGCTCGCCATTGGTCGCCTCTCGGGTCTCGGCCCACCGAACCTTGGAGACCTAAACCAATCGCAAGGAGGCGAGCGACCCACTGGCTCCCCGGGCGGCGGCGGCCGGCGCGGAACGGGCAGGGCGCGGGGCGGACGGCGGTGACAGGCGGCGCGAGTCCGCACCCTCCCCGCGCAGCGCGGCGCGGCACCATGGAGCCCGCCGTGTCGCTGGCGGTGTGCGCGCTGCTCTTCCTGCTCTGGGTGCGCGTGAAGGGGCTGGAGTTCGTGCTCATCCACCAGCGCTGGGTGTTCGTGTGCCTCTTCCTCCTGCCGCTCTCGCTCATCTTCGACATCTACTACTACGTGCGTGCCTGGGTGGTGTTCAAGCTCAGCAGCGCGCCGCGCCTGCACGAGCAGCGCGTGCGGGACATCCAGAAGCAGGTGAGCAGCCGGGCCCCGGCGGCGCGCGCGTGGGTACCGTAGCGGTCCGCGAGATGGCGAAGGCACGTGGGGTGCTGGGGAACCTAGCGGAGGAGCTGGCGTTGGAGGGGGGATTGCAACCGAACCAACATGTGATGGGGGAGGAGGAGAAGCTTGCTGGGAAGGGAACAAAACAAGCAATGGCGTTGGGGACGGCAAAACATTGCCTTGGGGTGTCTGGAGTGCGCACTAGGTGCATTGCATGATGTGCGGTACTTGGAGAGAGAGATTGATCACCTCAAGCTAGGGAAAGACGCGCTACAGTCAGGTAACTCACCAGGCCCCAGCATTCCCGAGGAGGAAAGGCTTCCGGGAGGTGGAGTTGGGAAATAAAGGGGGAAATGATTGGGGAAGGTGCCTCAGGGGGAGGGACTGGAGTGAACAAAAAAGGGAGTGTGGGGGGGGGGAGGGGTAAGCATAGGCATCCAGGAGAAGAAAGTAGGTTGGAGCTAAGTTGGAGGGGGGCCTTGATGCCAGGTTACAGGTTTAAAGTTCATTTGAGGTCTTTAGAAGAGAGGACCAAGGCGAGATGGTGGAATGCAGCTCCCAACCCGGAGAGAAGAGCCTCGCAGCCTTTGCTGATGGAGGAGGACTCACTCATTTGTGCGGCTCGCAGATGCAGTCGTCCACTTTCCAGTAACAGGATGTGCTTCCATATGCCAGAGCCCACGGAATCTGGGACCCTGCTCCCCTGTAAAGTGGAGCCTCCTTTACCCCATCCCGGGGTGATGTGAGCTTCAGTCCTCTGCCTCTCCTTATGTTCCTGTCTTACTAGCATCAGGCTACAGAAAGCTTCTGTTTGCTGCTGCCACCCTGGAGGCAGGTGGAGCAGTCTCCATAATCTGTGTGCTCTGTGCTGGGTGCCTCCAGCTGCCAGAGCCCAAAGATGGATACAGAAAGCTATGGCCTGAAGGAAGGAGAATGCAAGTCTGGAAGTGCTCTGAGCTGCTGCCTTGGGTTTTGCAACTCACCAAGGTTCTAGAGCGCAGTCTGCCCTGCTTCTCCAGCTGCACCCTCCTTCCTAGCTCTTTCCTCTGGTGTAGACTTACCTGCTGGTAGCTGCTGCTCTCCCCCAGCAGATTGTGAGCTCTTGGGGGCAGAGACTGTTACCTGACTCACCCCTGGCTTATGAGGCTCAAAGCCTTATTAACATAAATTAAACAGAAGGACTCACTGTGGACAGACAACAAGGGGTGCAGCCAGACCAGCCCCCCTTCCATGGGTCATATCCTGTGCCACTGTTTACCATTGGTTGTAGTTCTAACAACAATCCTGGTAGGTCTTACACCTATCTGTTTTACTGATGGGAAAAAAATTGAGGCTTAAGTTTTGAGTCATGTGCCCAAGATGACGTAGCTCATAAATGGAGCTGGAACTCAGGTTAGCTCCAGTTCAGAGCTTGAACTCTTGCCATTTTTTTCTTTCCCATCCCTTCCATTCCATCCTGTAAGTCTGGTTCTGTGGCCTCATGCCTGGCTAATTATACTAACTGCCTGGCCAGTTCTCCTTTTTCCAGACCCTCCCCACCTCTCTTTGGCCTGCACATAGTCCCAAGAGTGGTTTTTCTTGGCATTGCCTCCCTCCTCAAAATCTTGTTTGGCTCCCACCAAGATCCAGTCCAATCAGTGTTTCAGGTTTTACAGCTTCTACCCTCTGTGTGGCCCACCCTCCAGCTTGAGTACAGCACCCCTAATCTGCTCCCTCACAGCTCATCAAGTCCTGGACTGCAGAGTCACTGTATGGTCATAGAATCCCATTTCCTCTTTTCACCTTCAACTTACAGGAATCCCTTTCTCAGTTTCACCCATGCCTTGACACTACTTCATGTGGCAGTCCAGCCTCTGATCTAATCATAGGAAAACCTTCTATGTGTTGAACACTTTGTCTGACCACCTCCAGTGCAACCTCCCCCAGGAAGACTGGCTGCAAGTGTTAGAAGCCATTTTAAACAGGTTTGAGCAAAAAGGGAATTTTCTGGCTCAGGTCCTGAAAAACCCAGAAGTAAAACTGACTCAGGTGTGGCTCTATTAGTGTCCTCTATTCCCTATTCCCATCTTTCCCTTCATCTGTCATCTCCCTGTGGAGCCCCCAACAATTTCTGGCTTAGATCCAGCCATGTTAGCCACCTCAATAAAGACAGAGTGTCTTTCCTAAAACCAGTCTGATTGGCTTGACTGGGGTCATATCCCCATCCCTAAAGCTGTCCATCTGTCCAGAGTAGAAGCAGACCTCATCATGTGCCCACTTCCTGGAGTGGAAGAGAATCATTCTCACCTGGATCAAAGTAAGGTAGACTCTTAGAAATAGATGATGAGGAAATGGATGGTCTCAGGTCAAAACCATGGGACCTTCATCCATCTCAGCCGGGACAGAGTGCCTCCTATGTTCCTGACCTGTGTGTGTTCCTCCTATGTTCCTGACCTGTCCCCTGTACCCTTTGTTCAGTGCTATGTGCTCTGGTCACTTATAGTTGAGGATTTGCCAAAGGTGTTCCTTCCATTCGTTTTGGTCCTTCCCTACCCCTTTTCTCCCTGTCAGTATAGCACATGAGTTAGCACGTGTGAATGCTTAAAACAAGCTTGTCACAGAATAGTTCTCGGCAAATGTTAGCTGTTCTTCTGTGGACTATGACTACAAGCCCATCTGTCCTCTTGGGCCTGTAGTTAAAAGAGTCCTGGCTGCAAATCTGGACTCTGCCAGTCATTGGTTGTATGACCTTGGTTAGGCAAGTTATTTTATCTCTGAGTTTCCTCATCTACAAAAGGGGATCACCCCAACCTCCCAGGTTTGTTGTGAGAATTAACCAGTATAGAATAGGCACCTAACACAGTGAGCACCCAGTAAATGATAATCATTTTTATAATTGCAACATCATTACAAAATCTTCTGAATGTCAGTTATTATTTTTAAAGCACTCTGATCCTGTATTCTATTTCTTCATTCTACCTTGCGGTGTAGCAATGTGTTGGTCTTCTGTTGTCCTTGCCAGCTGGGGAGATGCCACAGTGTGGGCCAGCGTGCCTTTTCACCATCCTGTGCCTCCCAGAGTCTGGGTGGAGCCATCTTTCCCAGCTCCCTCTCCCTGAAAGAAAGACTGCGAGCTGTTCTGGGTATCCCTGGTGCGGCCAGCTCAGCCTTGTCCCACGATTGCAGGTGCGAGAATGGAAGGAGCAGGGCAGCAAGACTTTCATGTGCACAGGACGCCCCGGCTGGCTCACAGTCTCATTGCGGGTTGGGAAATACAAGAAGACACACAAAAACATCATGATCAACCTGATGGACATTCTGGAGGTAGACACCAAGAAGCAGGTGAGAGCATAAGTTCCCTGGCTCAGGGAGCAGTGAGGTATTGCCCGGGTACAGTGACTTGCAGCACAACGAGTGGACGGAACCAAGGGCCAAGGTCATCCATGGAGGCTCTGCCTTCCACTGCCTTCCTTTGGTCACAGTCAGGCCAAACCGAGAAGCCAGGGTGTCCTTTGACTCTTCAGTTCTACAGAAAGTTGAGGATGGGGACATCATGGGCCAAAGTGAGAAACAAAAGGGAACCCACTTACCCCTTCCCGATGAGTAACTGTGCTGAGAAAGATGGGCTACAAAAGTGGCTGCACCTTTTTACAAGCCCAGAAACACACGTATTCTTTGGTCCACCTAGTAATTCTACTTCTTGAAACCTGGCTTGAGGAAAAAGGAGAGATTGTGTCACAGCTTTTTTTCTTTCTCTCTCTCTCTTTTTTTTTCCTTCATTTTGTCGAAACAACCTCCCTTTATAACCCAGGCTGGCCTCAAACTCATGATCCTCCTGCCTGAACCTTCAGAGTGCTGAGATTACAGGCGTGTGCACCATGCACAGCTACACCTTTATTTCTAATTGAAGACATTGCAATGTCCAATAATAGGGAAATTGTTAAATATGGTATATCCACTTGATGGCATTTCATTATTATTGTGAGACTTTGGCCAAGTTACTTAAATTGTTCTGTGCCTTTTTGAAAAACAGCTTTGGTTTTAGAAAAAAATTTATAAGCATAAATTAATCATACAAAGGGGTTTTGTTATATTTATACACGTGTACAATGTACCTTGATTCATTCACCCTATCTATATTACTCTTTCTTAACCTCCTCCCCCCTTTTCAGCAGTTGTTAATAGGTTTCATTATGGTATTGTCATATAAATACCTAAAGTGCTTAGGTCATATTCCCTCCCCATGAAAGCAGCTTTGTTGATGTACACTTGGCATACAATAAACTGCACACATTTAAAGTGTGCAACCAGCTGATTAATAAATTTTGACAGTATGTTTTTGAGAAACCATTATCAGAATCAAGACAGTGTCATACCCATCACCCCCAGAGTTTCCTCATGCTTCCTGGCAATCCCTACCTTAATCCTCTACCTGCCTCTTCCCCACACCCTTAAGCCAGCAATGATCTGCTTTCATCACTATAAACTAGTTTGCATTTAGAGTTGGATCTAATTGGAATCAAATAGTATGTATTGTGTTTTTGTCTGGGTTCCTTGGTAATTAAACGATTCATCCATATTGATTCGTGTGTCAGTAGTACACTGCAGAGTAGTATTCCTTTGTATGGATATTATCAGTTTGCCTACGTTCACCTGCTGATGGACATTGGGCTGTTTCCATTTTGGGGCTATTACAAATGAAGTGTGTAGAGACATTTATGAATAGTCTTTTTATAGGCAAAAGACTGTTTAGGAAAATGCATAGGAGTGGAATGGCTGAATCATATGATAGATGCATGCTTAGCTTTTTTAGACCTCACATATTGTTTGCAAAGTGGTTGAAGCATTTTATACCCCCACAGCAGTGTGAGTATCCCGTTGGTCCACAGCACCATAATCTTGGTGTGACTAGTTTTGGTTTTAGCTATCCTAATAGGCCTCATTGTGCCTTTAGTTCACATTTTCCAAATGACCAGAGATGGTCACCATTTTTCATGTGCATATTTGCCATTTGTGTGTCTTCTTTGGTGAGGCCTGTTCAAATCTTTTGCCTTTTTTGTTTGGTTGGTTTTGGCAGTACTGGGTTTTAAAGTCAGAGCTTCTTGCAGGTACTCTACCACTTGAGCCACTCCGCCAGTCCTTCACCTCCATTTTTTTTTTTTTTTAATAAGGTTGTTTTCTTAGGTGTTCTGGAAACAAGTCATTCACCAATGATTTGCAAATGTTTTCCCCTAGTCTGTGGCTTGTTTTGAAAACCAGAAGTTTTAAATTTTGATAAAGGCCAGTTTGTTAATATCTTCTTTTGCAGATTGTGTTTGGATGTCATATTTAAGATATCTCTGCCAGGCACTGGGGGCTCACATCTATAATCCTAGCTACTCAGGAGGCACAGATCAGGAGAATCACAGTTTGAAGCCAGCCATGGCAAATAGTTCAAGAGACCCTGTCTTGAAAAAAATCCAACACAATAAAGGGCTGGCAGAGTGACTCAAGCAGTGGAGCATCTGCCTAGCAAATATGAGGCCCTGAGTTCAAACCCCAGTACCACCAAAAAAAAGTTTAGAAGCCAGGCATGGTGGGACACGCCTATAATCCCAACACTTGGGAATCTGAGGCAGGAGGATCTTGAGTTCAAGGCCAGACTGCTATATAGCAAGACCCTTTCTCAAATAAACACAAACAAATATGAAGAAACAAATAAAAAAAGCTTAAAGCTCGGGTCATTCTTTTTTTCTAATATACTTGTTTAGTGCTCCCACCAAATTTCAGTATGTTTTATTTTCATCCACTTTGAAATACTTTCTAATTTCCCTTCTGATGTGTGCTTGACTCCTGGGTTGTTTAGTTTCCAAATAGTTGAGTTTTCCAGAGATCTCTATTACTGATTTCTGACTCAATTCCATTGTTATCAGAAACTATAATCTTAGATTAGAATGCCTCCAACATCTTGGTAAATGTTCCATGGGCATTAAAATAGATATATTCTGCTATTTTCAGGTGACATGTTCTATAAATGTCTTTAACTTATTTTATCAGCTATTAACAGAAATATTGAAGTCTCTGCTTATAACTGCTAATTTGGTTTTTTTTTGTTTGTTTTTTGGGGTTTTTTTTTTTTGTGGTACTAGGGTTTGAACTTAGGGCCTCACGCTTGCTAGGCAGGTGCTCTACCACTTGAGCCACTTCACCAGCCCCTGTTTCTCTCTCTCCCTCTCCTTTTCCCCCTCTCTCTCCTTTATGGTCCTGAATCTTTGATCCATCTTCCTCCACCTCCTGAGTAACTGGAACCACAAGCATGTGCTACCACCCTGGGCTTGCTGTGGAGATAGGGTATTGCTAACTTCTGCCTGGGCTGGCTTGGAACTGCATTCCTTCTGTCTCTGTCTCCCAGTGGATTTATGTCTTGAACAGTTCCATCAGTTTTTGCTTCTTGTATTTTGAAGCTCTGTTATTAGATACAAATATGTTTAACATGTCCTTGATTAACTGATCCTGTTTTGATTTGAAAAGACCTTTTTTTAAATCCTTGGTTAAATTCTTTGATCCGAAATCTACTTTGTCTGATATCGATAAAGCCATCCAGTTTTTATTGACTAATGGGAACATGATTATATTTTTTACTCCTTTTACTGTTAACCTAATATGTCTGTATATTTAAAGTGTATTTCTCTTGTAGGCAGCATATAGCTAATCTTGCTTTTTTATCCAGTCTGACAGTCTCTTATCTTTTTTTTTTTTTTGGTGACACTGGGGTTTGAACTCAGGACCTCATGCTTGCTAAGCAGGCTCTCTGCTACTTGAGCCACTCCACAGGCTCCCGGTGTCTGCCTTTTAATTGAGGCAGTCAGACCATTTGCACCTAATGTTACTAGTGGTTTGATTCAAGTCTTTGGCCCTGCTATTTGTTTTCTACTTGTTCTATGTGTTCTCTTTTTTCCCCATCTTCTTTCAGATTACTGAATAACTTTTATAATTGTACTTTGGCTCCTTTGTTGGTTTATTAACTGTAGCCTTTTGTTTTACTATTTTCACAATTGTTTTAAGGTTTACAGTTTCTATTTTATTTATGATAGTCCACCTACCAGTGGTATTGTCTCAGTTCACATACACAGGAAGGCTCTTAAATAAACTGCTTCCATTTCTTTCTTTCTATCCTTTGTACTATAGTTGTCATACTTTTATATATGTACAAACCCTACGCTATCATTATTATTTTAATAAAATATTTTACACATATAAATTTGTTTCTGTTCAGTTGCATTTTCCTTCTGCTGAAAGGAACATTTCTTTAATACACATGCACACACATACACACATACACACACGTCTGTGTTTCCAGGTTGGCAGATATTCTCTTTCAGTAACTTTAAAGATGTTTCTCTAACTGTCTTTTTGTATGTATTGTTTCTGGCAAGAAATATGTCGTCCTTATCTTTGTTCATCTGTATGTAATGTTTTTTGGTGGGACTGGGGTTTGAACTCAGAGCTTCACACTTGCAAAGCTGGCACTCTACTGCTTGAGCCACACCTCCAGTCCATTTTTCTCTGGCTATTTTTTATTATTATTATATTATTGTTGTATTGGGGCTATGTTGTGACATTTACAAAATTTCTTACAATATATTATAGTTGAATTTACCCCTCCCCCATCATTCTCCTTTATCTCTCCCTTCCCCCATTCCTGAAATAGTTTCAACAGGTGTCATTTTTCCATTTTCATACATGAATATTGGTTATTTTGGAGATAGGGTCTCATGAACTATCTGCCCAGGCTGGTCTTGAGCTGTGATCCTCCCAATCTCGGCCTTCCAAGTAGCTGGGATTATAGGCATAGGCCACTGGTGCCTGGCTGTTTTTTTTTCTTTTCCTGTTTTCTAAGTTTTTTTTCCCTGAAAACAGGATTTTTTGTTTTTTTGGTCAGTACTGGGGTTTGAACTTGGGGTTTCATGCTTGCTAGGCAAGCACTCTATCTCTTGAGCCACATCTCCATTCCTAAGATTTTTTTTCTTATCACTGGTGTCAAGTAGTCTTATTATGATGTTCCTTGGTATAGTTGTCTCCATAATTCTTATGTTTGAAATTTGTTGTAATTTTCCATCAAATCTGGAAGATTTTTTGGCCATTATTTCTTCAAATATTTTTTTCCCGTCCTTTTCTTTCTCCTCTGCTTTAGGGACTACTGTCACATGTATGTAAGGCTGTTTCAAATTGTTCCACAGCTGTGCCCACTGTTACACTATTCATCTTTTAAAATCCTTTTTCCTCTCTTTTCCATTTTGGGTGATTTCTGTTGCCATGCATTTAAAGTTCACTAGCCTTTTATTCTGCAGTATCCAATCCAGTGTATCTTTCATTTTAGACATTGTAGTTTTCATTTCTAGAAGTTTGATTTGGGTCTGTCAGATCATTGTAATGTCTGAACTTAAGCACTTGAACATAGCAAATACAGTTCCAATAATTATTTTGATGATCCTGTTGCCTGATTCTAGTGGCTGTGTCAGCTCTGAGTGTGTTTGGCTTGATTGGTACTTCTCCTTATTCTGGGTGGAATTTTCCTGCTTATAAACTCTGACATTGTGAGATTCTTACTAGGGTGCTGGGTGTTACTATGTTTCTGTGTTTCTGGCTCTTAAACTTTGTTCTAGGAGGCAGCTAACTTAGCTGGAAATAGTTTGATCCTGTTGGGTCTTGATTTTCTTAGGTGGGATGAGAGCAGCATTTAATCTAGAGTTAATTGCTCCCCACTGCTGAGACAAGACATTCCAAATACTCTAGAGCCCTGTGAATCATGAGGTTTTCCAGGCTGGCTATGGAGACAGATGCTATTTCCTGCCCTGCGTGAGCCCCTGGTGCCTTTGCCTATTATTTTTCCTTACGGTTTTTTGCCTGGCTGGGCCTCCAGCAATGCCCATGTGAGTATACTCCAGTCCCTGTTCAGTTGAATATACAGGCTCCCTTGGCAGCACTGTCCTCTCCAGGACTCTGGCCTACAAAGTCTACTCCCCTTGGTTCTCCGGGGCTGTTACCTTCATCTGCACAGCTTGGTACTAGTGCTCTACCTGGGTCCTCCATCTAACTGTCTTGTTCCCCGTCTCAGGAATCACTAACAGCAGGGTAAGTCTGGTCCCTGTTGCTCTGCCTCATGATGACATATTAACATATCCACTAAAAATCATGTTTCCCAAGAATATTTAATGATAAGAGGTGATAGTCATAGTGTAGTGCTAATTTTTAAAAGGCAGGACAACAGTGTTGTGTGTAAGTGTTATGTTAAAACATACAAAATAGAGACAAACATGAAAAAAAAAAGTAAACTCACTCTGTTATTAACATTGGTAACTGAAGAACTAAGGTAGATGATTATTTTCTTCATTTTTGCTGTGTCTTCCAAATGAATGAATAGAAGCATTTATTATAAAACAGTTGACACGATAAGATTCAACACTAGGTAACCAACCCCAGCCAGAGATCACACTGTAGTTAACAGCGATGGAATGTTCCACAAGGAGCCGTACAAGCTGCAGAGCAATCCCCGGGTTGAGTGTTTGGGAAGGTTTGAGGTGACAACTTCTGGGTGCAGAAGCCCTTGTTAAGCTGGCCACCTCCTTGAGACCTCTCTTTTCTTGTGTCTCCAGATTGTCCGCGTGGAGCCTTTGGTGTCCATGGGTCAGGTGACAGCTCTGCTGACCTCCATTGGGTGGACCCTACCTGTGTTGCCTGAGCTCGATGACCTCACAGTAGGTGAGGACTCCATTTTTGTGGACAAAAGGAGTCAGACGGTCCCAGGATCAAAGTGAAGGGGTTTTGGTGACCTTCCATCCAGTCCAGGGGTGGCTACTCTTCCATCTGGTGCAGAAGTCGCCCTGTCTTACTTGCTTAGGCCAATCAGGGGACTTTTAGTGTCTGCTGTTCCACATCTGAGCAGCTCAGGTCATTTTCAGCTCAAATCTCCTTCCCTGTAACTTGTGTCCATTGCTCTAGTTCTACCTGTAGAATATACAGAATAAGTCTAGTCCATCTTCCCATAGGATTTGGGTACCCCAAAACCTTTTCTTACCCAAGGGGAACACCTTCCCATAAATCACAGTTCCCCACCACCCCAGCATCCTCCTTCTTCGTTGAAGTTCCTTTTAAAGTGAATGCACACGGGCTTCTAAGTTGAGACTGACCAGAGGTAAGGGAGTGAGCATCTGTCCAGCCCCTGCCTCTGAGGAAGCTCTCATGCACCCATCTAAGCCCCCCTTCTCACTCTTTCTTCCCAAATGGACAGAGACGGGGACTGTCCCTTAAGTCAGCAGCCCCATTTCCATCACTCCACCCTGCACCCATCTCTCCCTGGCTGACACATGTCTCCTCAGGGGGCCTGATCATGGGCACAGGAATCGAGTCATCATCCCACAAGTACGGCCTGTTCCAGCACATCTGCACTGCCTATGAACTGGTCCTCGCTGATGGCAGCTTTGTGCGATGTACACCGGTGAGTTCCAACATGGGTGACATCTGTACCAGCCTCCTGGGCATTGAGGATAATGGGGTCAGGGCAGTGACTCCCCTGGGGACATTTCATTCCAAATACACCTGTTGAGTCTGAATCCATTCTAGTAACAGTCACTTATATAGCTCCTTATATGTGCATCTGCCCTGTTGTGAATGCTTTGCAGATATTAGGCATTTAATCCTTCAACAACCTTTGCGGTAAGTTCTTACTATTATCCCCATTTTACAGAAAAAAAACTAAAGCACAGAGAGGTTAATAAACTTGCCTTAGGTTACATAGGCAGTAAATCCTACACAGCTGGAACTCAAAGCCAGGTAATCAACCTCCACATCTTTGCCCTTAGCCATTCATTACACCAGACTGGTGTAATGAGTCTGGAAAAGTCAGGCCGTGGTATCAGAGCTCTACATCAGATGCATGAGGTGTGACTAAAGGCCATTAGAAGGGCTGTTTTGTTAAAATACCATTCTAGCCAGGCGCTGGTGGCTCACACCTATAATCCTAGCTACTTGGGAGTCTGAGATCAGGAGGATCATGGTTTGAGGCCAACCTGGGCAAATAGTTCAAGACTTTATCTCCAAAATAACCAAAGCAAAATGAACTGGAGGTGTGGCTTAAGCTGTAGAGCACCTGCTTTGCAAGTGCAAAGCCCTGAGTTCAAATCCCAATCCCACCAAGAAAAAAAAAAATTCTACCACCCAAAGTGGGACACAAACATTTGAGGCATTTTATCTAAGGAGTGGGATTAAATTAAAACTTTAATTAACCTCAGATCTGACCTAGTATACTGAGGAGCTTCCTGCCCAGCCTCCACCCTGCCCAGCACCAAGGGTGTGCGGGTGTGTCAGAGACTGCACAGGGCATTGATACGGCCAATATATACAGCATCTGAATTAGAATGGCCAAAGGAAAGGCAGTGGTCTGTCTCTGAGACAGATGTTAAAATGAGAAAACAGTACAGTTAGAGATTGGTGGAACCAGAAGAGGTACTGCAGGAAGAATTCTGAGTATGGAGTTAGCTGATCTTGCCTGAGCCCAGCAGCAGTACAGCTGACTTTCTGGGGAGTCTTGAGCAAGGCATGTCACCTCTTGGAGACTCACTTTCCTCACCTGTCAGAAGGGGAAGGTGCCCTCCCTGGGCTGCGGGTGGGGGGAGAAGACAGTAAGTGGGGGAGTCTGCAAGCCAGCAGACTGGGAAAGGCATTGTCACTTTGGGTACTGAAGGGAGGCATTTTCACATTTTCATGTTCCCTGCTTCCCTAACTGTTAGCAAGGGTTCAGCTGTCATTTAGCCTGGCCTGCAACCCCTGCCCCTTAGTCCCCCATCTGGGGGCCTCTGAACAGTTCTGATCGTGGCCTCCTTGTTGCATAGCCTGTGGCTGGGACTGAGGGTAGGTGGAAGAGAATGGGCACTGATACTGGGGCAGCATCAACATCAGAGCATTCCTGATACTGAAGGTAGTCTGGTTAAACACCAAGGGAAGTTGCAACAGGAAAGCACTACCAGTTGTAAAGTTCCTATTCAGATTGTGCATGATGGTGACAGGAGAGGCAGTCAGCCTGGGCTGGGTTTCCCTGTTGATCCCGTGCCATGGCATGGGTCTCCACATATGTCAATTCTGTCTTGTAGTCTGAAAACTCAGATCTGTTCTACGCTGTGCCCTGGTCCTGTGGGACCCTGGGTTTCCTGGTGGCTGCTGAGATTCGCATCATCCCAGCAAAGAAGTATGTCAAGCTGCGGTTTGAGCCAGTGCGGGGCCTGGCGGCCATCTGTGACAAGTTCACCCATGAGTCCCAGCGGCTGGAGAACCACTTTGTGGAAGGGCTGCTCTACTCCCTAGATGAGGCTGTCATCATGACCGGGGTCATGACAGATGAAGCAGAGCCCACCAAGGTAGGTCAGGGCATCAGCTGATGCAGACCAAGAGCAGGGGAAGTGGGGAGCTGGGGTGGACTGCTCCCAGACCAGCCTACCTGAGGTATGGTCACCTTCAGAGATGTCTTAGAGCAGTAAAAGCTGCTGTCTCCTCTGCTCTGACTACCTGCAGGGATGCATTCTCTCTTGATAGGAGTAGCCCCATTTCATAGATGAGGAAACTGAGGCTCCAAGGGGTAGAGGAAATTTCCACAGGATGATGAAGCCAACTTTGCGTAGTTGATTTGATGCCTCAGAATCCAGATGGGCACTGTTTCAATTTATACCATGCAATTTTTTTTTTGTTGTTGTTATTTTGTTTTGTTTTTTGAGACAGTCTTGCTGCATAGTCCAGGCTGGCCTCGAACTCACAATTCTCCTGCCTCAGCCTCCCAAGTGCTGGGATTACAGGCATGCATCACCATATCCAGTTTACCATTTAATTATTTTGGTGATACTGAGGTTTGAACTCAGCCTTGTGCTTGCTAGGCAAACACTCTACCATGTCCCCAGCCCTTTTTGCTTTAGTTATTTTTCAGATAGGATCCCTTGCTTTTTTGCCTGATTTAGGCTCAGACCTCCTACTTATGCCTTCCATCCAGCTGGGATTACAGGCAAGAGCCACTATGCCCTGCTTGTGTGTTGAGCTGGGATCTCATTAACTTTTTACTTGGACTGGCCTCGAACCTCCATCCTCCCAATCTTCACCTCCCAAGTGCTGGATTACAGATGTACACCACCTTGCCTAGTCCCCATTTAATTTTTAACAGCAGTTTTTTCTCCATGTAGAACGGACTTGTGCTTATTATAAAATACTTGGGAGGTATAACCAAGTAAAAGAAAAGATTCCACCTGCAAAATGTGATCCAAAGCCAAAGATTACTGATTATTTCCTCCCTGTGCACAGAAGGTTTTTTCCCCCGTTTTTAAATTACAAAAGTAGTATAACAATGTTGAATTTGTAAAGAAAAAGTTAAACTGTCGATTCACCTGGGGTGACCACTTGTAACCGTTTACTGTGCAATTCTTGAGAATCGTTTCTGTTTGTGTAGACGTGTGGATGTGTGCGTGCTGATTTGATTCTGTACTTCCCATTTCTGCATGTATATAATGGACTAGCTTGGAACTTACTATGAGTATTTGTGTTGCTGTTACAAATAAGATTGCACAGAAGATTTAATATTCTCTTACATGGGCTGGAGGCAAAGCTCAAGTGGCAGAGCACCTCCCTAGCAAGAGCAAGGTACGCCAGCACCACCAAAAAAAAACCCAAATATTTTTACATAATCTGATCTTGTCCTTTCTTGTTGTTGTTTTGCTTTTGTTTTTTGGGACATGGTTTCATGTAGCCCACACTGGCCTGAAACTTGCTATGTAACCCAGACTGGCCGTGCCTGTGCCTCCTAAGTGCTGGGATTATTGGTGTATACCACCACACCTGACTTTATCCTTGCCCTTTCATTCAGACTTTCCTGTGGGATTGAGTCCAGTAAGTGGAATCCTGTCCTAAGGGTGTGTGAGCACACTGACTACTGACGGAGGAGATCACAGAGCCTTCTGGAGGCTCGTGTTCATGTCCTTTACTAGTAGCCACGTGGGAAAAGACTTCTCCCTGTGTTTTAGCCAGCTCTTGTGATGGTATCACTCTTTCGTTTCTGCCAATCTGATAAGGTTAAAAATAGTGCCTCTGTTTTATTTTGCAGTTATTGGGTGACTTGTGAGGTTGAACATCTCTGCAGTTTCCAGTTTGTCTGTCTTCATCAGCCATCGCTATTCAAATTTGTCTGGTTTTGTGTGATAAGCATTTTCCCATGTTTTGTGGCCTCCATAACTACCTTAGCTGGTGTCTGCAGGACAGTTCCTCTTGCTTACTAAACTACTGCCCTGCTGTTGGAAATTGGAGTTGCTTCCAGTTTTTATTGTTATTTTAATCCATGAAACGATGAATGTCTTTGTCTATAATTTAAAGACTCTCTTAAAGTAATAGTAGATCAAACAACAGGACCAAGGCTCTTGATCTGCCCCTATATGCTTAAAACATTTTAAAATTGGAAAGGACTCAAAAGTCATCTGAACAATTCCCTCCACCTAAGAACCCAAGGTCCAGAGGGGGGAAAAGACTACCAAGGAGGACTGGAGGTGTGGCTCCAGTGGTAGAGTGCCTGCTTTGCAAATGTGAAGCCCTGAGTTCAAACCCCACTCCCACAAAAAAAAAGAATATGAAAAATTAAAGACTTCTGAGGACACACATCAAGTACAGAACAGATTTTTTTTTTTCTCTCTCTTTGTGCTGAGGATTGATCCTAGGGCTTGTATATGGCAAGCACTGTACCATTGAGCCTCACTCTCAAGCCCCCAAAGCACATTTAATTCTGATATCTAACTCTTGGCTTGATGTGGGTTCCTCAGTATATCCACCTGTAGAATTTAGCATCATCCACGAGTTTTGATTTCCAAGGGGACACTGTGGTGAACCTGGAGTGGTCCTGGAGCAGCAGTGCAACACTGGACAATGGAGCCGAGGTGTTCTGGCCCTCCCTAGATGAAGCCTAGTCAGATTTGTCCCCATGCCCAATGGTCTAGCAGGGACATCAAGACAGGAGACTGTCCAGCTTCGGCAAGGTGTTTTCTTAGAGCTGTCCATAGTGATAAACTGAGGGAAGGGACCAAAAGGAGTGGTCGCCCTACCACACCAAAGTAGCCCAGCTGTTAACGTATGTGATGATTGGCAGATGAGTTTGTACAGCCTTGAAAATGTTTGAATACCTGACCCAATTCCCTTATTTCCCAAGGAGGAGACAAGGCCCCGAGGGCCTTCCCAGAGTTCTCCTTGGCTTAGTGGCAGAGAAGCCCTGAGGTCAGAGACGCGTGCGCAAGGCACAGGTAACCAATGGGAATAGAGTGATAGGTACCATTGAATGGGTGGACATTTCATTTTAGCAACAATTCTTCCAAACATTCTAGTTTAAGAATTTGTCCCTGTGTGCCAGGCACTGTGATGGGACCTCTACCAGCAATATCCAAGGTGAGGCTCACTGCAGCCCTTAGGCAAGGCCATTTCATTAGGGGAACACCCAGGTAGGCAGTGGCTTACTGTGGAAATGCAAGCACCAGAACTGGACCTCACACAGCCCCTGGCTGACACATGCCCTGGGAGAGACAGACTATCCAGTTTATTTATCATCTTCTGGGCTTTTTTGGCACAATGGTTCCTGAGTTTGAGCACCAGGAGCAGCTATATCCAGGTACCCCAAGTCTCAAGTTCATTACCTAACAGGTGCCACTGCCAGGCGGGTGGCCAGGTCTCACCTGGCTTAGATCAAGTTGCTCTGTATCCTGATGAGTTTCAGTTTCCTTTCATTACCGGTCAGAGGCCCCATACAACCCATAGCTCTTGAGCCCCAATTTCCTGGCCCATCGCAGCCCCCTGCAGAGTGGCCCACCAGCAGATGGGGCTTCTGAAAAGAGTGGTACGTGGATAAACCAGGTAAGTACTGGCTGCAGAGAGCAAAGGTGAAGGGTTGCCTGACTCTAGGGTACAGTGTGGCAAGAGGGATGGCAGAACAGACCCCAGGGAGAGCAGCGAACTGGTACTGTGCAGCCCTGTGAGCAGGCACCCTGCTTGGTGTTATTTCTTGGCTTTTGCAGCCATTCCAGTGGGGAGCAGTGTCTGTACAGAAAGCAAGTCACACAGAGACCATGTAGTCTACCCAAGGTCAGCCACGTGAACGGTCAGTGAAAAAGCAAACTGGTATAGTATATAGGGAGGTCTGTTTTTATAAAAATTGTGTATGTGTGTGTAATACCTAAAAGTCACCAAAAACTCCCATAAACTGTATGCTTTTATTGTCATTTCATGTGTGAAGAAACAGGCTTAGAGAGTGACTGACCTGCCCAAGGTCATTGAGCTAGGGGTGACCCAGTGCCTGTGCCCTTTCCAGAATGCTCCCTACCACTCCCCAAAGAGCATCTACCCAGAATTCATTTCATAGATGAAGGCTTTGAGGCCCAGAAAGCTAGGTCACCTCAGGGCCCTCAGCAGACTGAGTCCTGGATCATTACAGACTGAAGACTGCAGCAATTCAGTGTAAGACTTAGGCACACGGTCCAGTGCCAGGGAGATGGAGGCTCACCTGTGAGCTTCCTTCAGGTAAGGAGGCTGCAGGAGTGCTGTGCCCAGAGGACTGTGGACCATGGGCCAGGAGAGCTGTGGTAATGAGTGACAGTGAGGGGATTGCCTCATGAAGGTGGGAGGGGGGACTTCACCTGCAGGGAGCCCCATTGTTGCACTGTGTTCTCATCAGGACAGAGAACCAGGTAGGGATGAGTCACTAAGTCCTCTAGGCTGTCAGGAGCCAGCCACATGACCCTGTGCACACCACGTAAGGTGTTTGAGCAACTGCTCTCTGCTGGAGAGTGCCTGCTGGGCTCAACCCTGCCTGGCTTTCAAAACTCTCAAAGTCTCAAAGGCTGTGACTAACATGTCAGAGCTTTGCAAAGGTCAGGAGTGCTGAAGAACAGCTAGTATCGCTGTTACTCCCTGGTGGCGTCTGGCGCGTGTCCGGGGGCTGATCACAATGGCCTCTGTCATTTCAGCTGAATAGCATTGGCAGTTACTATAAGCCGTGGTTTTTCAAGCATGTGGAGAACTACCTGAAGACAAACCGGGAGGGCCTTGAATACATTCCCCTGAGGCAGTACTACCACCGCCACACACGCAGCATCTTCTGGGAGCTCCAGGTAAGGTTCAGCTTTCCTGCAGTCCTGGCTCCTGGCCAGTGGGCAGAAAACCAGGGTAAGAGAATGGCTTTGTACTGAGAGACCCATATGCCTTAAGCTGCAATGCCAGCCACCTGCAGTGAGAGCAACAGGCTCTCACCCAGGGTTTTGGGAGTTGGGCCAGGCCCTGGGGAGCACAGAGCCTCTCCTCTTCTGGCTCTGTATAGGGCCAAAGAACAAGAGGAAGGCGTGGCTAGTTCTGCCAATTGTGGGAGGGCAAGAATCTGTCATTATATATAGGGATGGGTGGGAGGAATGGAGCAGTGACATTCTTTGTCACCCCTCGGGAGATGACTCATGATCAGGGTCCTGACCATGGAGAAGGCAGGCCACACAGAACCACAGGAGAGTGCCCAGGAAGGGAAACAGCCAGAAATGAGCCAGCGAAATTAACCACTGTTAACTGTGTGGTTCACAGGAATTTATTACATGCACCATGTTGTGCAACCCCCACGTCTATCTGGCTCCAAAACATTTTCTATGCCCCAAAAGAAAACCTCATACTCATTAAGCACTTAAGCAATTTTCAGTTCTTTTGGGGAGATATACATACACATAAACACACACATTCATATATATGTATGTATGTATGTCTACACACATATATACATACCTAGGAATGAAATTGCTTCCCTCCCCTCCCCTCCCCTCTCCTCTCCTCCCCTTATTGAGGACCTCCTGAAATGTTTAGAACAGTGGCTGTGCCACTTTACATTTCTACTAGCAATGTATGAATGTTCCAAGTTTCCTACATTCTCAGCAACACTTGTTATTTTCTAATTTGTAAGTTGTGGTTATTACAGCCATCCCAGCTAGGGGGTTGATACGGTTTTGATTTGTAATTTCTTATTGATTCATGATTTGAGCCATCAGTCCGTGTGTTTAGGCCATTTGCCTCTCTTGATTGAAGAGTGTCTGTACAGATCCTTTGCCCATTTTTAACAGAGCTGTTTGTCTTTGTTGTTGAGTTGTAAGTATTATGTATGTATTCTGGATACTAGACCATTGTCACATACGTGATTTGCCAATATGTTCTCCCATTCTGTACATTTCCTTTTGCTTTCTTGGAATCTATTGCCAAATGCAAAGTCGTGAAGTTTACGCCTATGTTTTCCTCTAAGAGCTTTAAGGTTTTAGCTCTTGCTCAGATTGTCTAACATTTTGAGTTAATATTTATGTACTGTGTGAGGCAGGAGTTTGCAGGAGCCTACCTCTATTCTTTTGCACCTTGCTATCCAGTTGTCCCAGCAGGGTGCATGTGTTTGAAAAGCAGCAAGAAGGCCACTAAGCTAGAGTGTGGAATGAGGTCAAACAGCAGCTGAAGGCTGGATCACATGACTCCTTGTAGGTCAAGCAAGGACTTTATATCTTATTCTAAGTGTGGTAGGAAGTCAGCCAGGGCTTTGATCAGAGAAGTGGCATGTCCTGATTTTTTTTTCTTCTGTGATACTGGGATAGTAACTGGGATTTGAACTCAGGGTCTCTGCTTGCTCGGAGGTACTCTTACTGCTAAAGCCACTCTAGCCCATGATGCCCTGATTTTTGTTTCAAAAAATATCTTTTGACTGGGGGCATGGCTCTAGTGGCAGAGCACCTGTCCAGCAAGCACAAGGCCCTGAGTTCAAACCACAGTACTACCAACAAAAATTGTTTTAGATAGATAGACAGATGGACAGATAGATAGATAAAATTGACCGCTGGATGAAGAGTGGGTGGGGTAGGAGGATGAATACAGTGCATATAATGTGTATACATGTATGTAAATCCAAAACTGATACCTGTTGAAGTTGTTCCAGGAATCGGGGGAGGAGGGGTGAAGGAGAGTGGTGGAGGGGATGAGTTCAAGTATGATATATTTGATACATTATAAGAACCTTTGTGCCCAGCACAATAAAGAAACAAAAAAGAGTGGATGGAGCTGGGGTGGTTGGGAGAAGAGGAAAAGAAAGATTTCTGCTGGGTTCATGGAGGAGGGAAGAAGTGTCAGTGTCAGAGCTGGGAGAGACTGAAGGCTGGGCTGACCGAGGGGATTCACAGACAGATTGGCCATGGGCAGGAGTCCAACATCAGGGACCCAAGAAGTGGGCAGATAAGTTACCTCTGGCTGCCGGGAAGCAGGGGAGGGCTTGAGCAGGGCATCAAAACTTGGTCTGGGGCATGTCTCATTTGAGATGCTTTTCTGCACACCCAGGTGAGATGTTGAATAAGCAGCCTGCTCCATGTGTCAGGACTAAAGGGGTTCAACAGAGGTTGAGGCCACGCGTATAAATGCAGGTCCCAGGAGCAGAGAAATGTTATATAAGGCCCTGGAAGTAGATGAGTGAGGATGCACACAGAAAGGAAAGGTGTAAGGACCCATCTCTGGGTGCCCTGCAGGTTCAGAGAGGAATGAGTGGAAGAGAAAATGCTGTCCAGTCAGAGGGGAGAAGAACAGGAAAACATGGCACCCCAGAGCCAAGTGAGACTTTGAAGAAGTAAGACTAACAACTGTATCGAATGCTTCTAGGTAAGACAAGGACAGAGCATCAACCTCAGGTTTAGCCCTGGAGGTGTCATTGGTGACATTGAGGGAGAGAGGACCCTGACCACTGGGTTCAAGGGAAAATAGGATAGGAGACAAGGAGGTGGAGATAATGAGAACCAATCTGAGAGGCTCCCTCTGAAGGAAACAGAGACATAGGGTGACAGCTGGAAGGGGTGTGAGGCCAAGGGAAGGTGTCTTGTTTTAGGATGGGAGAGGAGAGGCATGGTTGTGTGTCTGTGTCAGTATGGTGGAGGAAAGCGGAAAGGCCAGTGCAGGGGAGAAGATGTGTTTGTAGGGAGTGGGATGGCTCCTCTTCTTTGATGCAGAGGTGGCCTCTTAGTGGGAGTTTGGATAGGAAGGAAGCAGCACAAGTGGGAACAGTCGCTAAGAGCAAGAGGAAGATTCAGCTATGGAAGAGAGTAGGCATTCTTCTGATTGCTTGTAATTTCTCAGGGAAATGGGAAACAGGAATTTCAGTTGGAGTGGGGGTTGTTGAAGGCCCAAAGAGAGAGGACATGGGAATTGTCCCTAGCAGAGTGAGATGTTCATTTATTGGGGACATGCCAGGACCACCAGGGCAGCATTAGGTTTGCAGAGACTCATAATCATAGGCTCACAGGCCAGCGTGTGACAGGGAGATTGAGCAGGTGATAGGATGAATGTGGCAAGAGTGAAGTCCTTGGGGAGCCAGACAAGGAGGGAGAGCGGTTGCAGAGACTCCCAGGGACTAACAGGACTGCTGTGGTGGCTACATGTGAAGAACCGAAGTCAGGAAACGGTGGTGGTCAGAGGACAAATGCTTGCAACAGGAACTGTGGAGAGTGGGAATATACACATTATGACAATCTAGAGGTCAACAAACTTTCTTAAAGGGACAAATAGCCAATCTTTCAGGCTTTGCAGGCCACAGTGTCTGTCACAGCTGTGTAGCTCTATTATTTAAAAAAGCTGGCTCTGGGAAAATTTTATCTACAAAATAAGCTGTAGGTCAGATTTGACCAGCAGGCTGGCTTTGAAATTGTTTCCCCATGGGCTGTAGTGTTGTCCACTGCTCTGGGGTATGACATGAAGGTCGGTGGCTGAGGTCAGTGGAATGTAAAACCACTGGAAGATAGAGAGAGGAGGCTGGGGAGCTAAGAGACCAGAGAGTGGTAAGACCATATTTGCAGAAGAGGGAGACCGGGATCTAGGATCTGGTGAGGGGGACCATGAGTGTGCAGGTGAGGGAGAATGCAATGGGCCAGGATCTGGTGAGGGGGAGGGGTTGGTGGAGATTGGACATTTCCTTCAAGGTAGTTATAGGTGGTTTTTATGGAAGGAAGAGAGGAACAGAGATCTGAAGCAGAATGAGGGGCCAGGAGGACTCTACATCACCTGTCAACTCTCAGGTAGAGAGAGAGAGAATGATGCCACTTCAGAAGGCTACAGGGGACAGCCAGGTGTCAGTTAAGAGCAAGGAGAACATTACAAGAAGAGAATGAAGGAATGAGTTTTGCTATAGTCAATCCTGGGAACACAGGGCAGTCAGGGGACAGTGGTAAACAGGATCATTTCAGGGAGCCATTTTTCTAGGGCAGGATATAGTGCAGGTAGTAAGGCACCTAGAAGTCCATGGTGACTAAGAAGCAGAGCAAAGGCATGAAGGAGTAACACATGGTGCGCTTGTAGCAGATAATTGGTCAGTTCTGGCCAAACCTCTTGCAGGAGGTGGCAGGGATGGGGCATCATGGCCTGGGGGCTTTGGGTCCCACTCGTGGAGCAGTTCTACCTTAGGCCCATGAAGAGCCAGGTTGACTGAAGGCAGAAGACACCTTGAGTCCCTTGTCCTGCCCAGAGCAGAGTAGGTTGTAAGGTGAGGTTTGTCAGGAGCCAGGAGCAGACCCTAAGGAAAAACATAGGAAAGATGAGAACAGGCGCTGCACCCTTGACTCCCATTAGCTTTCCCACATTATCTTAATCTTACCTTTTCTGACCCATTTTGCAGATGAGGAAACTGAGGTACAGGTCATCCAAATTAAAATATATGAGTCACCTATTACTCCATAATGTACTAACTTAAAATTCAGAGGGGTGAAACTACCAACATTTATGATCTCAGTTTCTGAGGGTCGGGGGTTTAGAAGTGACTCTCATAGGTAGTCCTGGCTCAGGGTCCCTCATGGGGGCAGCTGGGGCAGCAGTCATTGGGAGGCATGACAGGACAAGCAGGCCTGCTTCCAGGAGGCTAAGCTCGCTTGACCACCTGAGTTCAAGTAACTTCACAGCAGAGTAGCTGGCCTCCCCCAGAGTAGGTGACCCAGGAAAAAGACCAAGTGGAATCTGCTGTGCCTTTTTTGACCAAGGCCCAAGTCACTTCTGCCATGTTCCCATGTGTGAGGACCAGTCACTCAGCCAAGCCTACTCCAGCAGAGGGTCATTAAACTCCACCTCCTCAGGAAGGCATAGTGAAGAATCTGGACAGGTTTTAAACCACTACACACAGCCAAGATTCAAAGTGAAGTTCGTCTTATATTTTTGTGCTGTTGAAATAAACAGCAGTCTGCACTGCCTTCATTTAAGAAGAATCTGGAAAAGTAGATGTTTTAAGCCTGTGTTTGCATAACAGAAGTTTATCCTTGGACTTACAAGTGTGGAGGAACAAGAAAGTAGGACTGGGCAAAGTCAAACTGTGGTGCAGTCACAAAGGCCTCAGCCAACCCCCACAGGAAGCTTTGGGATGGGATGAGATAACCCTCAGAGTTGTGCAACTTGAGGCCAGCGGGCTTGGACTTTATACCACACCCTGGCCCCTCGAGCAGCCTGTGCTCTGCCTGACCTGGCAGTAGGCTGCTCCCTTCTGCCAGGGGCAGCTGTTCTGAAAGGGAGTTAGTTCTATCAGCAGCCACCACTCCCCACAGCTTGGGGAATGGGTGGAGTACTGCCATCTAAGGTGGGGCTGTAGAAGCTGAAACACATCTGGAGAGGAGTAACACACAAGTTCAAATGCATGCTTCCCCACCCAGGGTGGCAGCCTTCCTCCCATGAGAAAGGAGCTGCTGGGGTCCATGTTCATTTATGTTCTGTAGGAAGCTGTTGCCAAAGGGCCTGCCTTGGGATTGGGGGTCCTGGCTCAAGCTGGGCCCCTGGATCTATGGTGGGCTGGGTCCCTTGGATGTGGTAGGGCCCTGCAGCCTACCAGAGCAGAGGTGGCCAGCAGCAGGCTGGACACAAATACCAGTCAAGGGCAGCAGGTGAGCAGGGGGCTGAGGAGGGAAGAGGCTACAGGAAAGGTCCCTGGAGTGAGTAGTCCTAGCCTGTTGGCAGGACATGACCAGGAGTGAAAATGGACATGGAAATTGGACCCCAGGTCACTAAGGGACAGCATAAGTAATGGGGTGGCCAGAGGCAGGAAAGGAGAGGGCAGAGTACAGTGTTTAAAATATGGACTTTCAGAAAAGCTGGGTGCCCGTGGTTTATGCCTGTACTTGGGAGGTTGAGATGGGGAAGATCATGGTTCGAAGCCAGCCTGGGCAAATAGTTCACAAGACCCCAACTCAACTAATAGCTGGCCCTGGTGGCATGCGCCTATCATTCCAGCTGTGCAGGAGGTTAAGATCTAGAGGGCTGCAGTTCTAGACCAGCCCCAGCAAAAAAAAGTTTGCAAGATTCCATCTAAACAAAAAAAAGCTGGGCATGGTAGCATTTCTCTGCCTGTCATCCCAGTTATGTCAGGATGTGTAAAGTAGGAAGATTGTGGTCCAGCCTGGCAAAAATGGGGGACCTTATCTCCAAAATAACCAGAGTATAAAAGGCTAGAAGTATGGCTCAAGTGGTATAGCACCTGCCTAGCAAAACCCCAGTACTGCAAAAAGGGCAGAGGGCTTTTTGAGGTTAACAGGAAAAGGGGGAGTTTCAGCTGACTCAGTAGCTGAAAGGTGATGCAGTCTTGAGAGCGAGGAGTGGAGGTCTCACAGAGATCTAGAAGTGTGATGACACACTGTACTGGTGGGGGTGTGGGAGTGGTGGTCTACTGTTATTTAGAAGAGTATAAAATGATACAAACTCATGAAATTTCCATTAAAATGCACACACTGTTTGATCTAGGATTTTCCATTTCTAGGAATTTATCTTACCAATAATTTATGTATTAGTGGGCAATGACACATGTGCAAAAGCATCTGGAAATAATCTACATTGAGTAAACGTTAGTGTAGAGCTGATTAAATAAATAATGCTGCATCCATGCAGTAGAACAGGGCTCAGTACAGTTTGTGGAAAGGGCCAGAGTAGGGATACAGTGTCGCTAACAACTGCTCTTCCCTCATAGCCTAACAGTGACTACAGACACGTAAATGGACGGCCGTGACTATGGTAGGCTGACTTTGTGGTCCTCATAGTGCAGCTCCAGGCGCCCATGACAGAATGTGTTAGCATTCTGTGTTCTGATGTGCAGGACACAGTCATGAGCAGGGCGCACTAAAATACCACCAGGGTTCGATTTTTCAAAAAGCCCATCTGCTTGTCCGTACACCTAAGATCTCTGGACGTGTACACAAATTATTCCTACTGATGATTGCTCCTGGGTGGGGGGAGGTCAGTGTAGGAGGGAGCAGGATCAGAGATGTGAAGGTGGACTTCACCTTTGTACTCTAGAGATTTCTGCTCTGGGCTGTGTAACTTTTCCAAAAACATCCAAAGGAAGAGTCAATGCTGTGCTATTGCACACCAAGTTCCTGCTGTGCCGGGCATTGGTATGGTATAGGGATCTGGCAGAAAAGAGAGAGACAGGTCCCTGCCCTCATGGGAGTGGTCTGTGATTCCAGTCACTCGCCTTCCATGTTGGCATGTGGGACTTCTTTGGGTCCCAAGTCTGATGGGACGCTCTTAGGAGCTGTCTCTGCCCCTCTTTGTCCCTGCTCCTCCACACTACAGTTCTGTGGCCTGTCGCCTTCATCCATGGGGGCACATGTTGAGGAGAGGAATTGCATCTCCATCACCCTGGTATCCCTGGTGTTCAGCATGGAAACTGGCATCTGACCTTATGGACCAAAGAGCATCCTTGGTTTCAAGGTCTCTAGGAGCTATGGGATGGGGTACCAGCTGGATGTTGGTGACTCAGGAAGACATTGGGACCTAAAGCTAGGAGGATGAGTATGAGCCAGGGACCAGGAGGTGGTGCCCTCCTTGAGTCTTTGCCAAACTTCATCTACCTTTCACCTACCAGGAGCTTTCCCTGCTGTGTGACCTTAGGGAAATGGCTTAATCTCGCTGAGTATTCCTCTTCTCATTCAGCAGCATTCATTTCTCAAACATTCATGGAATGCCTGTTTGGTATCAGCCACGCTGACCTCAATAATGAGAATAGGAATGATAGCCACCTTATCATTTTATTCTAGGCATTGAGCGGGGTGGCTTCCATTTGATCTCATTAGCCTCAAGTCCCTTTTCACAGATAAGGAAAATGAACTCACAGAAGTTAAGTAACTAGCCCAAGGTCATCACAGTTGGTAAATGGCAGAGCTGGCAATCAAACCCAGATCATCTGGTAAAGTGCTGGGTATCCTCACCCACTCCAAATGGAAGGAGTGTGCCCTAGAGTCCTCGTGTTTAGCATAGACCAAGGATCTGACCCAGCCCTTACACATGGAGGCACTCAACCCTTTGTTCCTTCTCTCCATCCCCAACCTTTATCTTTCAGGACATCATCCCCTTTGGGAACAACCCCATCTTCCGCTACCTCTTTGGGTGGATGGTGCCTCCTAAGATCTCCCTCCTGAAGCTGACCCAGGGCGAGACTCTGCGTAAGCTGTATGAGCAGCACCATGTGGTACAAGACATGCTGGTGCCCATGAAGTGCCTGTCGCAGGCCCTGCACACCTTCCACAATGACATCCATGTGAGCTGGGCGAGTGGGTGGGCATGGGCCCATGGAATCCATGCCTTCTCCCCTGTACCGTGGGCCCCTTGGCACACTGGACCAACTATAAAATGAGGACCTTGTCCCCATGCCTGCAGTGGCCTCAGCTGCTTAGCAATGGCCCCTAGAGTGAGGGTCATAGGACCTGGTGACAAACACTTCCATGAACTGCTTCAGTACACCCTCCAAGTGGTGGAGTTAGAGTGTCTCAGCCAGGACTGGGATGGGAAGCTGATGCCAGGAGAGGCCCCTTAGAGAATGCTGCAAAGCCTCCCATTGGATAGGTGGGGGTAGGACCTGCTGAAGAAAAATCCCCAATACCTACTTCCTACCTCTCCAGGTCTACCCCATCTGGCTGTGCCCATTCATCCTGCCCAGCCAGCCAGGCCTGGTGCACCCCAAGGGCGACGAGACTGAGCTATACGTGGACATAGGAGCATATGGGGAGCCACATGTGAAGCACTTCGAGGCCAGGTCCTGCATGAGGCAGCTAGAGAAGTTCGTGCGGAGTGTGCATGGGTGAGTGGGCCAGGGTGGAGGGCCCACATGGCTCTTCTCACCAACATCTCCTCCCTGTGTCTCCTGATGCTGCATCCCTGTGTTCTTACCGTGTCTCTCCCTGTGCAGATTCCAAATGCTGTATGCCGACTGCTACATGAACCGAGAGGAGTTCTGGGAGATGTTTGATGGCTCCTTGTATCACAAGCTGCGCAAGCAGCTTGGCTGCCAGGACGCCTTCCCCGAGGTATACGACAAGATCTGCAAGGCCGCAAGGCACTGAGCCAGGGCCTGTCACCTGGAGAGGCAGACTCTTGTGGGTGGACATGTGTTCCCTTCGCTCCAGCTTGGCTGCTTTCCCAGACCCACATTTTTAGAAAGAAACCCCTCCAGAAGTCCTACCCAGACAACCCTGATGGCCTTCCCCTGGCTTCCAGGGCAGCCAGCCTAGTGGAGAGAACTTGGGATTTGGAGTCAGGCAAAACCTGAGTCTGGGTCCCAGTTTAGCCACTCATTAGTTGTGTGACTGAAGCGAGTCACTTAGCCCCTCTGTGCCCCAGTCTCTTCAGCTGTTGGGGGAAAGGGGAACAGGGCAGTAATACCTACCTGCAGGATGTCACGTAAGTCAAACACCTATTCAATGGCAGAGCTGTTCTGGTTGCTTCCCATTCAATATCACAGTGCTTTAGATTCAGCGGTTGAGCCTAGAAAGGCTTTCCATTAGGTCACCTGCGCACAGGTTTGTCTGGAATGATGGAGACACCCTGGAGTAGCAGGGCCACTGCCCGAGTCAGCCAGAAGAGCCTCTCATGGGAAGAAGAAAGGCTCCTCTCCACCCCTGGGTCTCAGGAGGGCCACATGTGGGGCAAATAGACCCAAGATGTGTTGTGCCAAAGCCAGGTCCATTCCAAAGTTCCCTGTGCTGTCCTGCCCCTTCCTCCTGTGCACTCAGGCCCTCAGGCCACCCTACTCATTGACAAGTCCACTCAGGACTATCGTCCTGGAGAAGACATCTCAAGATAGAAGCCTAGCCTGGCCTAGGCTCATTCTTCCTGGCTCCAACCTTCCGGGTCTTCTCTTGTCCCAGAACCCACATTAGTCAAGGTGAGGGTGTGTGCACTCTGCTCTGCAGCATGGGGGTGGGGCCATTACATTAACTGGGGAAGTGGAGTCCACCATTGTGCTTCTGTGAGGAGCCTGACTGTGGGGCAGGAAGGAAAGTGCATCACTGGATTTCTCCAGCCACTCATCCCCGTTTTCATTCACCCTGCCCCCGCTGTAAGTTAATTTCAGTGCCTTACAAATCCCAAGCTCAGAGAAAGTTAGCTCCATTTCCGTTCCAGAGGGAAGGGACCTTCCAAGGTCCTTCTGCCTTGTTATTGAAGCGTGGTTGTTTGTGCAACTCCACTTAAGAACTGCCTGACGCTGAAAACCCAGAGTCTCAGAGGGAACCAAGTCCTGAAAGGAAGCCAGAAATCAAGAGCTGAGTCAGGCGGTGATGATATTGGAGTCAGGGGACCTAGTTTTCAGTCCCTGCTCTGTTTCAGCAAGCTGTACAGCCATGGGTCCATTTGTCCCTCTAAGCTGCAGTTTCCTCATTTGTCCCTGGAGCCTTTCTGTCTCACACTAGGATTGCAAAACCTATGAAAAGCCTTGTTTGTGTTGAAAATCAAAGGAAAAATAAACAATCTAGGTGACATTTAGAGATCATCATTTAAGGTCCTTAAGTTTTCAGAAAGGCTCATCTATACTGGGGAAAGAAGCACCCATCTAGTCTCTCCAAGTACCAAAATTCTTAGAATCATGCTTTGACTGAAGTATGTTCTGTGCCATGCAGGACTTGGCATATGCATAGTGTCATTTGGTCCCATGAGGGCTGGTGCACTTGTGGCATTCAAAGGCCAAGGAACCATCTTACCCCTTTGGCCTCTGGAGGAGACAGAAAGAAAAGTAAACATCATTCTTTAGTTTGCAAAGCCTGTAGATTCTGGCGCAAGCTCTCCTGGTTAGATGCACACATGTCCTGCTCAGTGCTAGACTGATGACTCTACTTGCTGTAGGTGAATGGTTAACCTGAGCAAGGTTCGTCCAACAATGAAATTGCGACCCATCCACCAGTGGAGCCTCTATCCCAAAGCCACTGCTCAAAGATGCCTGCACCTTAGTCCTATAACCAAAATCAGCCCTTCACAGACCCTACCCAGAACCTTGGGCTTGGAAGGGAAGAAATTGTACTCACACCAGCCTCAGGTTAAGGTTTGGCTCCAGTAACATCTTGCCTGGAAAGAGGCTGTCTTTCAGTGCAGTAAGCTGAATTCCAGCTTTTCCTTGTCATGTCACTATCCATGAGGTGGCTTTAGGTGAGGTTCAAATTGTGCCAGGAAAGTAATAGTAAGCTTCTCCCCTCCAGAGTTCCTGGGTTCTTGGCTGAATGAAGGTTTCTGTAAAATCAGAGTTGTGGTCACTTTATTCGGCTGGAAGAATGAGTTCTTGACTGTTAACTGAAAGGGAAGAAGGGTGGGATGGATGTAGCAGTGTATGATGTGTGTTCTGCCCCACCCCTCTTTGGTCATGGGGACCAAGGAGAAAGGCATGAGTCTCCCCTATTAGGCTCTTGCAGCCACAGGCACTGTGCCTACTCTAGAAGACCTGTCCCTGTGACTGTAAATTTGCTGCTTCTATAAAAATAAAATATGACCTGGAAGCTAACCTTCGTCATTTCTTGCTCAGGGGACCACAGTGTGGAGCCACAACTGGGCTCAGGTGCAGGCTGTGCAGCTTCCTAGCTCAGATAGCCTCTGCAAATCCAAGTACCCATGGACAGAGGCTAAAAGAACATGGGGAATGACAAGTATCTTTCTGTCATTGTCCCCAGGTGTTAATAAGGTCCCTCTACAAAGAAGAGAGCAGGTATTGGAGAGTAGAGGGGAGGCTCTGAGACCAATGAGGCACAGTTGCAGTGAGAGATGACAGTGGCTCAGATCAGGATGGGTACTGTCTTTTAAGGCACCCGACACGGTCATCAGGATATCTGACTGCAGTTCTGGCTGTCAGTTGATTGCAAACATCTAGTTAATCCTCAGCAGATTATTCTTAGCAGTCAACTGGTGGAAGCCATTAGCTGTCTACCAAAATTTATTCCTCCCTTTGTGCATACAGCTAGACTGCATCTCCCAGCCTCCCTTGCACTCAGATGCATCCTTACATTAAGCATTTTCTCAAGTGGATATGAAGGGAAGTGGTGAAAGTCCACATGAATTCTGACTTTCACATTAGCTGGAGGCAAATGACAAAACACCATAGATGGTGAGAAAGTCTTAGGTTGAACAGAAATCCTGTATCCCTGAGTCATTGTGTGGAGAGCTTCCCACCATCCCTGCTCCCATGGAGCAGACAATAAACTTCTCTTGTATTTGAGCCTCTGCACACTTAGTATGCAGCTATACTAAGTGAGCTATAGCTCACCCCAACTGCCACACAATTATGAGGCTTAAGTCAACAGAAGTATGAGCTGAGTATAATGCTATATAGTTTTATACAAATGCGAAGATGCATGTTGGACAATTTCCCATTGTCTCATTCCAGCGTTATCAGCAAAGATCCCTTTGGGAAATTCCTTTTCCAATTCAATTTCACAAATCATATTTTGTGTATTCTTTTTAAAGGAGAATGTTCCTTGTGTTCCTTGTGTTAGCTTTCTATCACTTTAAGAAAATACCTGCAGTAATCAGCTTATAAAGGGAAAAAGTTTATTTGACTCTGTTTTGGAGGTTCCAGACCATGATCAACTGCTTTATTGCTTTGGGCTGTGGTGAGCAACACATGTGGCAAATTAAAACTCACTTCACAAGCTGGGGAGCAAGAGAAAAGGAGGGGGTTGGGGTCCCAAAATCCCCTTTGAGGGCATGCCTCCAATAGCCTAAATGCCTCCCACTAGGCCTCACTTCTTAAAGGTTCCACCACCTTCTAACAGTGCCAAGCTGGGGACCAAGCCTTTAACACATGGGTCTTTGGGAACATTCCCAATCCAAACTACAGTATTCATTAAAAGAGCTTTTGCAGGTTAAGCCCTAAAATATTTAATATTTAAGGTGGTACACCTGTATTTGAATAGCACACAACATGCAGTATTTTATTTAATCCTCACAATCTTGTAACCAAAAAGGGCCAGTTTCCCCTGTTTTACAGATGAGCAAAGTGAGGCTCAAGAAAGGTCAAGTGTGTTGCTTGAAAGTCACATTGAGACTGTCAGTGAGTTAAGGACGCAGATTTATCGTCAGTCACATCAACGTGCCTGTGGATATGACCCTCCAGATCTGGAACAGCAAAGAGGGGACTGCTCTCAGGTGGTCAGGGTTTACTTCACTGACTTGGCCCAGAAGGGAGTCCCTCAGGAGTCAGAGGGGTGTTATGCTTTGAGCAGTTCCTTCAGTGAGGGGCCCCTCCTTCCCAACCAGACACTCAGCCCACCCAGGCAGTGTGCAGACACTGACATTCATGCCAGAGCTATGAATGTCCAAAGTGTTGGAAAAGCCTTAATGCACTATACAAGTTATATGGAATAGATTCCAAAAATTTACTTCTTGGTTTTCTGTCAACACAGCTCTTAGCCTACATGTTCACCCATCACTGCCCTGGATGCTGTGTAAAGATGGTGAAGCTTCGTTGAGCTCTGGAAGATGGTATTTTGATGATGGCAAATTGTTGGGACAAACAACTTAGAAATGACAGAATCCTGCTCTGCCCATCACCCTCCTCCCCAAGGACTTCCCTAGAGTAGGTCCAAGGAATATTTATTTATTTATTTAATGGGGCCCTTCCTGTCTGTGCTGATGCTAGGAGTCAAGCCCAGAGCTCCTTAGTGAGTGGGGCTGGGGCTTTGGCCTGGACAGTCTGTACATTGCTGCTCTTCCTCCAATTCCAGTTCTGGATCTTCAAAGCAGTGGGTTCCTGAGCCTGAGGCCAGGGACTAGACATTGACACCTGTGTGGCAAAGCCAGAGAAGGAACAAGAGGGCTGCTTAAGGGACCTTGTCTTGCTCTATTAATCTGGCCATGTGCAGGAGGGTGTAAGAACAAGGTGGTCAGGCTAGCCATCCGCTCAGTGCCTGAACTCATGGAAGTAGAGAACTCGTGTGTGACCTTGGAACTCCTAGTTGCCTCACCCACAAGCCTAAAGGAGTGTGAAACAGGTGTGTGTGTGTTTGTGTGTGTGGAGGGAACAGTGGTGTGCTGGGAGTGGCTTGTACAGACTTGAAGAGCTGTTGTACACACCTCTTCCCACTTCCGTACTGAGTGACTCTGGTGTAGCCTAAAATCACTCATTTACAACATGGAAATCAATAAACATTATGATGGGGCTTTTTTTGTTCTGGTGTTGTATTAGTCAAGGTTCTGCAAAGAAACACACTGATTATAAGGTGTTGGCTCACATGGCTATGCAAGCTGAGCTGTCTTAAAGTCTATAGTCAGCAAACTAGAGGCCCAAGAGAACAATCGTTGCCTTAAGTTGCTAGCATGGCTCACAGAACTCAGGGAAACATTTATAAAATATTTACCCATTTTTCACAAAGGATGTTAGGAGGGCTATAGATCACCAACCAGATAAAAGGAGGATCATGGTCTAGATGGGATAGGGCAGGGAGCAAGGGAGGGAGCAAAAAGCTTCCATGCCCTCTCTGGGTGCACCACCCTTCCAGGCACCACCCCCCACCCCATGCTCAGGTATCTGGAAAATCCTCAAACCTAGTCCTAGGTTTCTATGAGTTTCATTACATAGGCATAACTGATTATATTATTGGCCATTAATGATCAAGTTCTTTCCCCTCCTTGGGAACTGAAACTTCCAACCCTCCAGAGTCTTTATGGTGACCAGTCCCCATCATAAAGTAGTTTAGGGACCCCCAACCACCAAAAGACATTACTGATGGAGCATGATGGCTCTTATCTGTGATGGCAGCTACTCAGGAGGCAAAGATTGAGAGGATCTTGGTTCAAGGACAGCTAGAGCAAAAAGTTACCAAGACCTCATCTCAATTCATAAGCTCATGCCAATGACCCCAAATATGTGGGAGGATGTAGGTAAGAGGATCATAGTCCAGGCCAGCTCTGGGCCAAAATGCAAGACCTTCCTGAAAAATAACTAAAGCAAAAAGGGGCTCCAGGTATGGCCCAAGTGGTAGGATATCTGCCTAGCAAGCACAAGGCCCTGAGTTCAAACCCAAGAATTGAAAAAAAAAAAAAAATCCACTGGAGAGTTGGAGGATTTTAAGAGATGTGTGTCATGAATGGGATGAAGACCAAGTATATTCTGTGTTTCAGATCATCACAGATCCATTTTGAATTAATTTTTGTACATGATGGAAGTCACTGAACATAATTGACCTTTTTGTATATCAATATGCAATAGTTCCAGCACAGTCTTTTGTTGAAAAGACTTTTTCCCCCACCAATTGTTTTTGCACCATTGTTGAAAGTCACCTCTCCATATATATGTGAGTTGGTTTCTGGATTCTCTACTCCAATAGTTTGATCTATTTTGGCAACAATTTCACAGTCTCTTGGTCCCTCTAGCTTTTTAAGAACTCTGGAAATAAAGTAGTGTTATTCATATAGCTTTGTTCTTTTTCTAAGTTGTTTTTGCTATTTTATGTCTTTTACAATTCCATATATGTTTTGGAATCAGTTTGTCAAGTGTGTGTGTGCAGTGCTGGGGACCCATCCCAGGGCCTCGTGCATGCTAAACAAATGTTCTGCTACTGACCTACACACCCAGTCCCAGCTTATCAGGTTTGTTTTGTTGTGTTGGGTTTTTTTGTTTGTTTGTGGTACTGGAGTTTGACCTCAGGCACTCTACCACTTAAGCCACTCTGCCAGCTCCCTGGCTTGTCAACTTTAAAAACTGGACCCGGCACCAGTGGCTCACACCTGTAATCCCAGCTACTCAGGAGGCAAAGATCAGAGATCAGGAGGATTGCAGTTTGAAGCCAGCCTGGACAAATAGTTCGCAAGACCTTATCTCAAAAAACCCTTCACAAAAATAGGGCTGGTGGAGTGGCTCAAGGTGAAGGCCCTGCATTCAAGCCACAGTACCACAAAAAAAAAAACCAAAAAAAAAAA